CCAGCCATCAGCTGATGGACATGTAAGCTGTTTCTGCTGCACAGCTGGGGTTGATGGCTTCTAGTTCATTCACTAAATTTTAGCTCCCTGCATTTCTTTCTGCTGCTTAAACTTGTCAGGCTGGTCTCGGCCTCAGCATCCTTATTGTGTTCCTGTTGCTTGGCCTGCCCTTCTCCTGGATCTTACTGGGGCTTACTGGTGGACTCATCCTTACAACTCAGATATCGAACCTTCAGAGAAGCATCCCTGGTCATGATATCAAAAGTCCCTGAACTTCCAGTACTTTCTATTCAATATTCTATCTCCATAGTACATCTCAGTACCAGAAATGAAGAAGTATTTGGACAATGGGCACCTGTAGTACTGGGCTGTGGTCTCTGGCCTCATTCACAAAATAACCTTTGAATGCCTAAAATGTACCAGTTGTATTAAAAGTACAGTTGCCAAAATATTTTTAGCTATGATTTAGTAACCCATACACTTATCTGTTAAGCCCTTAAATAATAGTATCTATTTGTAGGCGTCATAATTACCAGAATATAGAAGCTCTGATGGATGTAGATGCTATTTTGACAGATGTGCACCCACTGGACTAGGAAAGGAAAATATGGCTGATTTCTACTGGACAGAAAAACCACAGGTGCTGCAAGCAGTGCTATAGGTGATTACCTTGGTTTATAACTGAAGAAACTGCCAAAGTTCAGTTTGAGGTGTATTTTGTTTCTGTCCAAGTTTGGGAATTCTCTAAATTCTTTCCAGAGGCTCCTTGGAGGTCTGTGAACTCCATGTTTAGAATTGTATGGGTAGGGCTGGAGACATGGTTCAGCAGTTCAGAGCATTGTTTGCTCTTGCAGAGGGCCCAAGTTCAATTCCCACATGGGCCCTTACAACTATATGTAGCTTCAGTCCCAGGGACTCCATCACCCTCTCTGGTCTCCCTGGAATCAAGACATGCACGTGGCGCATAGACATATAGGCAGACAAAACACTGATGCGCGTTAGAAAAGATTAAGTCCGTGCATGGTCTGCAAAAGTCTTGAACTTGTTGCCTTAAAAGGGAAAAGGTTAATTGTAGCGATGAGGGAGGAAAGTGCTGGAAGAAAGCTGTCTTCTCTAGCCCTCCATGGAACTAGGGTGTGGGTCATAGAGAAACGTCCTCTTGGGAGGGGTACAAGAAAAGCAGTGCTTTCCTCTTCTGGCCTACAGACAGAATATTGTATACATAATAAATAAATAAATATTTAAAAAAAAGGGGCTGGAGAGATGGCTCAGTGGTTAAGAGCATTGCCTGTTCTTCCAAAGGTCCTGAGTTCAAATCCCAGCAACCACATGGTGGCTCACAACCATCTGTAATGAGGTCTGGTGCCCTCTTCTGGCCTACAGACAGAATATTGTATACATAATAAATAAATAAATATTAAAAAAAAAGAAAAGCAGTGCTTTGAACTAAGAAAGAAACAGTCGTGCAGAGTGGCGTTCAGTAAGGATAGCCACACGTGGAGAAGAGATAGCCACTGTGGGAAGATCAGCCATGGGGGCAAAGGTGAGAGAACTCAGAGCCGTAGGCGGAGTCCTCACTGTATGCCAGACAGTAGACCAGACACTGGCGAAACAAAGCTGGCTGGCCCAAGGCTGAGTCACCCTTCTTTCAGGGCCCAGATTCTGGTGGCTGATTGGCTGGTCTGGCTGGTCTGATCTATGCACCTCTTCACAGCCTCTGGGAGCCAGGGGCAGTGGCATTAAGATGAACACGGAGATTCAAGGGGAAGGAAGCTGAGAAAAATCGGCTCTTCTGTCTCCCCCACCCCTTTGTGTGAAGCAAAAACTGAAATAAAAAGAAGTTACGTAAGAGAGGAAAGCAAAGCCATGCTCTGATCGTGTAATTCAAAGCAGCTACCCATCTACCAATTAGCTACATCTGAGGGATGCGCCCTCTATTCTCACGATGAATTCTTCAGGAACCTTCTATGACTCTTGGCTGCCAAGAAATCATTTGTGCTTCAAAAACAGTCTTGACTGGGGGGGGGGGGATCAAAGGAAGAGAGAAAGAACAATATTTTTAGATTTTTTTTTTCCTTTGGGGTGCCAGAGATACCCTGCACCTGGGTTTCTTCCTGAAGGCAGTTCTCCGGATGCAGGATTCTGTGATTCTTTTTTTAAATGCCGCTTTTCTCCCCTTTCCTAGGGGGCTCTTTCACAAAGGCTCGGGTTAGGAGCTGTTGCAGGTGGGAGGTGTTGGCTGGTCTCATACCTTCCTTTGATCATGTTCTCTTGTGGCAGTGGGATCTGAAAACTAACCTGCCCTGGGCTGAGGTAAAGAACCTCTTCTTCCCTGAAGGGAGGCAGCATCGCCAGGGGAGAGGCAGCCTGCAAGCTGAGGAGAGAAGGAGAGAGATAGGGCTGAAACTGAGCTGACCTAGTTAGAGCAGAAAGACGGCGATGCGGTCAAGGGTGAGGCTGAGCAAGTGGGCTGGCTCACTGGGTTAAGGATGCTTGCCACCAAGCTGATGTTCCTCCACCCCTGGATCTCTCGGGGTGAAAGGAGGAAACCTGACTCACACACACTGTCCTCTGACTTCGACGCTTAGGCCACAGACCTACACAATAAATAAGTGTATTTAAGAAAAAGAAAGGGGCTGGAGAGATAGCTCAGAGGTTAAGAGAACTGACTGATGTTCCAGAGGTCCTGAGTTCAATTCCCAGCACCCACATGATGACACACACCCATCTACAATGAGATCTGGTGCCCAACACGATATACATAATAAATAAATTTAAAAAAAAAAAAGAAAAAAGAAAGAATGTTGGAGCAATTGGGGCGGCTTCAGTGCAGATAGGGCTAGAAAGAAAGAAATTTCCAGAAAGGCCCAGGACAGGGAGGAGAACTGGGCTGATTATCTTTTCTGAAGTCTTGAAAACTTAGCATATATTAATGATATGTGCTAATGAGTTTCATTATGAGACTTTTGTGCGTGTACATAGTGCATTCCTTAGTATATTCGCTCACATTGCCCTCTTTTGTCCCCTCCCACTGATCTTCCCCTTCTCAAGTAGCCCCTCTTCCACTTTGATCTTTGTAAATAGAGGTATTTAATAAACACACTTTCATTTATTTGTGTGTGTGCATGTGTGCAAGTGCACTAGCGTGTGTGTGTGTGTGTGTGTGCATACCACAGTGCATGTATAAAGGTCAGAGGAAAACTTCAAAAGCTAGTTTTCTCCTTCTATCATGTAGGCTCTGGGAATCAAACTCAGGTTCTCAAGCTTGATGGCAGGTACCCTTAACCACTGAGCCATCTCACCAACTCCCTGTTTTATGCCCTTGTGTTTATGAGCAAGCAAACCAGTAAGTTTAATTAGGGTTACTTATAGGAACATGAATAAGGGGTTAGTTACAGAAGTTACTGGCAACTCACCAGTGGCTACACTACTGAAGAAAATATCTCTCCCTCCTTTAGCAACTGCTAACTGCCTATAGACCTTCAATTCACTATTGTTTAGGAGGCTGTGCTGAATCAGGTGTGGTGGTACACATAATTTAATTCTAGTACTCAGGAAGCGGGGGGTGGAAGGTTCATGGGTTTGAGGCCAGCCTGAATAACATGAGGCTATTGTCTTAGTTAGGGTTTTATTGCTGTGAAGAGACACCATGACAAGGACAGCTCTTATGAAGGAAAACATTTAATGGGCTAGCTTACAGTCTCAGAGGTTCAGGCCTTCATCATCATGGTGGGACATGGTGGCGTGCAGGCAGATGTGGTGCTGGAGAAGGAGCTGAGAGTCCTGCATCTTGACTCACAAGCAACAGGGAGTGGTCTGACTCACTGTGTGTGGCCTGAGCATAGTGAGACCTACAGTAGTGACACACTTCATCCAACACGACCACACCTACTCCAACAAGACCACACCTCCTAATAATGCCACTCCTTTTGGGGGCCATTTTCTTTCAGAGCACCACTGCTATATAGCAAGATATTGTCTTAGAAAAGAGACAAATAGAGCTGTGCACGGTGGAGCACACCTTTAATCCCGGCACTGGGGAGCAGAGGCAGACAGATCTCTGTGAGTTCAAGGCCTGGAATACATAACAAGTTCCAGATCAGACAAGGCTATAATGAGACCCTATCTCAAAAACAAAGCAATAAATAAATAAATAAATAAATAAATAAATAAATAAATAAATGTCTTGTTGAGTCAGGAAGACTGCCAAAGGGAGTTTTGCATGGATTCTCAGTGAACTGGGGTTCCTATGTAGATGACTGGGGGACGTACCTTTAACAAATTTTGTCTGGATGCTTAGATCAGAAGTGGAAACATATGTGACTATCGAGGTTCTTAATTGGGATGCTTCCCACATTGCTGCAAGAATGAGCCAAGATCCCACAGCACTGTGACAGAATCCCCTAGCGTGGGTCACAGAGAGGTCTGTGTCCAGAGCTCCAAAGCCAAGGCAGGGTGTGGGGAGCTGCAGGAAGCATCTAATGGGCTTAGATCAAGGGTCCAACTCCAGACCCCACCAGAGATTGCCTTGGGGCTGCTGGAAGATAGAGGCATTCTCTTCCCAGGTCCTGTCCTTCAGGAAGACACCACTAATCTAAGAGAACATTGATTCCTGCAAAGCAGCAGCAAACATTCCAATACCATGTAGAGTTTTTTTTTTTTACACTGCTTGGTCACAGAAGGGATTTGGGGTATAAGAAAAGAAGGCCCTTGGAAGGAGATAGGCATTAAACTGAGCTGTGAGGTGTGCAGAGGGAGGATGGGGATATGGAGATTAATGGACATTCCACAGTGAAAAAATAAATTGGGTTCACATGTGGCCCAAGAAGACAGCAAAAGCTGTCAGTATAAGACCCCACCAAGAAGACACGGAGAAGCCCAACTAGATGGGGAAGGCCCAATTACAGAGGACACATTGCGTTTCTAACTGGGATTGACTATGTCAAAAAAAAAAAAAAAAACCCAAGCACTTGACACCATTTCTCTCCTCTCCTCTCTAGCTATAAGCCTATAGTGGAATTCATAGATGCACAGTTTGAGGCCTACCTGCAGGAGGAGCTGAAGATCCGGAGAGTACTGCACACCTACCATGACTCCCGAATCCACGTCTGCTTGTACTTCATTGCCCCCACAGGACATTCGCTTAAGTCTCTGGACCTAGTAACCATGAAGAAGCTGGATAGCAAGGTATGAGGCAGGAGCTGGGGCTGAGCAAGCTGGACTCTTACTGATCTGATATACAGGGGATGCTGGGTTCCAGCAGAGGTTTTGTGGCATCCTAATCCCACCCTCTGTCCCTTCCCCCATAAGGATGGTGTTACAGATCGTGCATTTGGGCTATATGCTTTGCCATCTGGATTCCTAGTATTAGGAATGGCTTTGTCCTGAGTGTCTTGACAATAAGAACGAACACAAGCAAGATGGCTGTTCAAGTTTAAGGGTGCTGGTTTTGGCAATGGAATACAATATTATTCTTTACTTTAAATTTTTTTAGATTTATTTTATTTTATATTTTCAAGTATTTTACTGCATGTATGCATATCTGTACACCACTTGTATGCTTGGTGCTGAAGGAGCTCAGAAGAGGATGTTGGATTCCCTAGAACTGGAGTTAAGGATGGCTGCGAGCCATCAAGTGGGTGCTGGAAACCAAACCTAGGTCTTCTGCAAGACATGGGCTGCTATAAATTGCTATCTCTCCAGCCAAGGCCCTAGTTTTGATTCTCAGCACCATAAAAATAAAACAAATTGAACATCAGATTCTTTCAAAAGCCTAATTACTACAAGTTTCCTTCCCTAACATTTGGCATGTGCCAGGCACTATGTACATATATGTTATTTCATCTCTTCTTCTTTTCTATTTGTATATGTGTGTATGCATGTTTGCATGTATGTACACATGTGTGTATGTGCATATGGATGCTATGTGGAGACCGAAGGTTGATGTCGGAATCATCCTCTGTCATTGATCTTCTACCTTATTCACTGAGGCAGAATCTCTCGGGCCAAACCAGAATTCAGATATATGGCTGGTCTTGCTAACTACCTTGCCTGATCTAACTTCTGAGGCTGAATTATGGGCAGACTGAATGCTTGCAAGTTCAGGGGATCCAAGCTCTGGTCCTCATACTTGTGCAGCGAGAGCTTAGCCACTGAACCCTGTTTTTTGTTATTGTTGCTTGTTTGCTTTTGTTTTTAACAAAGGTGCTTTTATTGTATTTTGTTTAAATTTTTAAATTTTATTTATTTTTAATCAAAACTTTTTCATACAATGTATTCTGATCATGCTTTTCCCCTCCCACAACTCCTCCCAGATCCTCCCCACCTTTCCACCCACCCATCTCCATATCTTTTATCCCTTTCTCATTAAAAATCAAAAACAATAACCCCCAAAAAATACACAAAAAGAAACTTCATGAAAACAAAAACCAAATATATAAGTACAAGACCAGTAAGGCAAAAGAAAAGAAAGAGAAAAAGAGAAAAGCCCAAATGAAGCAGTATGAGACAAAAAGTCTACAAGACCACCATTGAGTTCACTGTGTGTTGTCCATCTACTGCTGGCCATGGGTGTATCTTGAAGTTAATGTACCCAGTGAGACTCCATTGGGGAAAAAGTAATCTTTCCTTTGCAAGTAGGTATCATCTACTTCTTGGTTAGAGAGGGAGCCTGTGTTTACTTCCCCTCTCTCAGCAATGGGATCCTGTCTGGCTTGAACCTGTGCTGCTACCGTCTCTGACTTAACATATTTAGTAGTCCCATTGTCTGGAAGACACTGTTTCCTTGGTGTCACCCGTCACCTCTGGCTCTTCAGTTTTTCTACCCCATCTTCCACATAGATCCCTGAGCTCTGAGGGGGAGGATCCTATTTAGGACTGAGTGACAAAGCCCCACTTTCTACACATTGTCCTGTTGTGGGTCTCTGTGTTAGTTCCTGTCTATTGCAAGAAGAAGCTTCTCTGATGATGGCTGAGCAAGGCACTGATCTCTGGGTATAGCAGAATGTTGTCAGGAGTTATTTTATTGCCATGCCCTTAGCACAACTGTGCTTAGTAGTATTTAGTACTTAGTATTTAGTATGTAGTATTTAGTTTTCCCCTAGGCCCATGACCTATCCAGTCTCAGGTCTAGCAGTGTCAGGCATGAATTCTGTCTCATGGAGTGGGCCTTAAATCCAATTAGGCAGTGGTTGGTTACCTCCACAACAGTTGTGCCACTGTTGCACCAGCATATCACATAGGCAGGTGACATTGTAGTGTGCAGGGTTTGTAGCTGGCTGGGTGGTGGTTGCCTTTCTCCTTTGGTAGTGTGCAAAGTGCATTCCAATAGCATGAACACCAGTAATAGCAGTGAAGGCTCTAGTTAGGCACCAGCTCAACTTCTACATATTTGATGACGTATCTAAGTGTTGTCTTCAGCAACAGGGACTGGGCCCTATTTTGCCCTTCTAATAATCTAGTAGTATATTTAAGTACTGTTACTTACATTTTACATAATACTGTTAGCTACATATGAAGTCACTGAGGCACAGAGAGGCAAGTACCTTGCTCAAGGTCAGGCAACATGTAATGGAGTTGAGATTTGCCTTTAGCTCCAACTGCAAGTTATTTTAGTATACAAAATTCTAATTTACATGTAGTCATTTGGTAGCATAGCCGCTATAAGAACTGAATGTCAGCTATAATCAGAATAAGAGCAGTTTTTTCCATTTTTGCAGCAATGAGCTCACTACTTGTGAATAATAGGCTGTTCCTGAAATGTCCCCATGCCCAGCACGGCCCCGTATAGGGCGGCAGTGAGCCATGTGGCAGGCTGTTTGCTGGCTAGGCTGCATTAAGTAAGCAGTTTTTGGTTTGTGTTTATTGTGGACTAATGAGGAGTAGGCAAAACAATAAATAAATAACAAGGAGGCTTGGATTTGCCTGCTGTTCCATCTTGGCAAAGATCTGGATCTCTTGACCCCAAAGACTTCAAGAGAGATAACTACAAGGTCCGGTCTTGACTTGCATCTCAAGCTTTGTGAGATGTGTCTTCAGGGGTCTTCAAAAGCACAAAAGACACAGGACATCTTCAGTTCTAGAGCCCCCACACGCTCCTTTCAGAGTCCAGGGCCTGAGCAACATTCATGCTGTCCCAGTGAGGTCTGCAAGCAGGAACAACTCCATTTTCTTCAGGAACCTGAGCTTAGTGTACTCTGTCTCCCAAAGCCACGCGCATGGCAGATTTCTTTACCGTTGGCAATAAAAGCTTTCCCTCTTTCTGGAGGGATTTCAAGGGTCAGGGTTCAGGTGAGTTGAACTTTTGGGGTGGCACTAGGCCTTTCTCTTGCTATCTGAAATTAGGCCTTCATACCTACTTTCTTTGCTCAGAAATAAATCCTACAACGCAAGCATTGTAACTTAAGGGGGTAGAGGATGGTGAAACAGGATCTAGTGTAGTTTAAGCTACCTTCAAACACACCACATAGCAAAAGATGGCCTTGGACTGATCCTTCCACCTCCACCTCTCCAGTGCTGGGATTATAGGTGAAGCTGAAGATGGATCTTAGGGCTCATGCTAAGCGAGCATCCGGCCAACGGAGCGCATGCCCAGCCCAGTGAGACTTTTCTGCATAGGTCTCAGGTCAGATTCGTAATACTGGGTCTTTTGTGCCTACCTGGCTGTTGCAGGAGAGCCACATACATGTTCATCCTCATCAAGTTCTGCCCCTGCTTCCTTTTTCTGACCTCCCATGTGGATCCATGGTATATCTGGCTGGGGAAAGCCTCAGTTGGACAGGTTGGGACAGCTTTTCGTTACCAACAAATGGCTGCCTGTCACATTGTCAACCACAAATTCCCTGTCGTCTTTCTCCTTTGAAACACTCGGGCAGTGACCTTGATTCCCAGACTTCACACAGCCCACCAACTTCGTTCTGAATTGATAGACAGTTCATAGTTGCTACCAGCTTTGGGACTACGGCTGAGTTTGATTTGAATTTCAGTTCTGCTACTTATTTGCCCTGTGGCCTTAGGCAAGTTATTTAACCTCTGTGCGGTTCAGTTTCACTTTGGTAAAACACTAGCAGCAATGCCTTCTGGGAAAGTTGTTGGGATTAATTTTGCTACGCCATTCATAGGGTACTTAGCTTAGTGGCCAACACATAGTAAGTACTCGTCATTGTTATTTGCTATTTGGCTAAAGGTGGGCAGTGCTAGACTATTCGCTGAGCTAGCTACCCCCTCTGGGAGGAGCTGGTGGGAGCCCTAGGCTGTGGAGTTGTCGGTTGCTAGTTAAGGATCCCACTTTGTTCCTCCTTCTCCTAGGTGAATATCATCCCCATCATTGCCAAGTCAGATGCCATCTCTAAGAGTGAGCTGACAAAGTTCAAGATCAAAATCACCAGTGAACTTGTGAGCAATGGAGTCCAGATCTATCAGTTCCCCACGGATGACGAGTCAGTGGCTGAGATCAACGGAACCATGAATGTGAGTGGGGGCACAGGGCTCGACCTTCCAGATGTGTGTTCTTATGAGCAGCCTTTGGCAAGTAGCGGTGAAGTACCTTCATCAGCCCTCTTAGTGCTGATCTTAACTCTTGAGTGTCTGAGTCTCGGGTATTGGAGACAGAGGACCCAGAACCTAACTAGTTTCTGTTTCTAGTCATGGCTGCTGTGACATCTCAGTGGCACAGAGATTAGCTGACGCGAGGTTGCGTGTGGGGTGGGAATTCAGGCCTCTCTTGCTCCTCGTTTTTGGCTCCTGTGCGTGTTCATATGTGCGTTACAGATGTTTATATTCATGTTTGTGGTGACCAGAGGTTGATGGGTGTCTCCTCCGATCACTCTCCACTGTATTTACTGTGCTAGGGTCTCTTGCTGAAACCGAAGCTCACCAATACCTCCTAGTCTAGCTGGCCAGCTTGCCCGGGGGTCCTGTTTTCCCCATCTCTGCCTTCTAAGTCCTAGGATTACAGGTAGCTGCTATGCTGGGCCGCCTTCTCTGTGAGTGCTGAGGGGCTGAACTCAAATTCTTGAGATTACCAGGCAGGTACTCTATCCATTGTGCCATCCCCCAGCCCCCAAACTGCTTTCTTAGTACCCCTCAGTTCTAGGCCAGGCAACCTTCCAGACTGGATTGCAAGAAAGGGAAAATATGTTTGTCTGACCACAACAATGCCGGCACAGTAGGTACAGCAAAAGCCATAAAGGCCAAAAAAACCAGCTTGGCCTCAGAGGCACAGGGACGGGCTGTTGGCCAAGAATTGAGCCCTATTGTCATGAACCGAACAATGAGAAATAGCCTCCAATTTTCTGGCAACCACAGTGATTTTTTTTTCTAGGATCTTAGGCTGGAACACAGTGTTTTTTTTTTTTTTTTAAAAAAAAGATTTTATTTATTTTAGGTATGTGAGTGTTTTGTCTGCATGTATGCAAGAATACCATGTGTGTACAGTGTCCATGGAAGCCAGAAGAGGGCATTGGATCACCTGGGACTCAAGTTATAGATGGTTGGGAGATGTCTTGTGACTGCTCAGAATCAAATCCAGGTCCTCTGCAGGAGCGGCCAGGGCTCGCAAGCACTGAGCCATCTCTCCAGTCCCTGTGATGTTATTTTGAAGCCCCAGGGTTATGATTTGCCTTATTAAGTGTGAATGAATTTACAAATAGAGTCCTCTTTTTCTCTCCTCCCCCACCTCCCCCACTAGAGGAATGAATAAGAGAGAAGGCCGAGAGTCAAACACTCCCGGGCTGCTTAGCAATGTGTTGCTGCTGTTGCCGTGAAAGCTTCACTGTTGTGATTTCTAGGAGACAGCTAGCGGCTTTCAGCAAGCCTCTGCTTCAGGAACAAATTTCTTTTTCGCTATTGAGAGGCATCGGTTTTTCCTAATGACATAATGTCAGGGGACAGCCAAACTCAGGAAAGCCTTGTAATAAAAGCCATTTTTAGCAAACTTTTCCTGCTGCTGGTGCCTTCTAAGTTATCATTACAACATCGGCTGCCACCTCCTGTGAATTGGCCAACAAAACAGCAGAGTTAGGCAGCAAGTCACCGGCTCGCCTGACGTTGTGTCCATGAGCACAGCCCACCCTAGATAGGTTTCTGAGTAGAAGCCCTTCCTTCATCTGCCTTGAACAAGTCTGGCTCAAGTCTGTGGGCCGGGAGGTAGGTAGAGTTGTGTTCTTTGTGACCTAGTGGGTGTGGACAAAAAAAAAAAAAAAAGAAAAAAAAAAAGAAAAAAGAAAAAAAATACTGCTGTCCTCTCCGGGAATCAGGGCATTCGGATGGAAATGAGGGCCTGTTATGATAAGAAAACTGGATAAGGTGCCCAGCCTGTAGCGAAACAGGAAGTGCTTTCTGGGTGTCGCTTGCACTGATGTCTGGAAGCATCTAGTCACCTCAGGGACCTCAGTTCTATAGATAGCTTCCAGGCTCATCCTCTGAGTCAGCAAGCAGTGCTCAGCCTTATCGTTTGCTTTGCTACAAACAAAGAGGAATGAGTTTTCCGCAACGTGAAGGTGTCCCACCAAGCTCTGTCAGTAACATGCTGGCTTACGAGTGGCAGTCTCCCTGTCTCTGTTCTCAGCTCAACTCTGGCCTAGAGCAGATTCAGCCTCAGAGTTTCCTTCTCCACCATGCTGCTGTGGCAGCCCAGAGATTGCGGGCCCTATGTTATGCATAACAGCCCAGAGTTTGCCCCTGCTTCGCTTTGAACAACTAAATTAAAAACTAGTTGGGGTAGCGCATGCCTGTCATCCCAGCACTGAGGCAGGAGGATGACATGTTTTATTCTGGCCTAAGTTACATATAACCTGTCTCCAAAAGAAAAGAAAGGAAAAGTAAGCTAAGTCTGATGGGTTCAGGGTCATCCCTCTGCGTAGCGTCACTCAGAATTCACTCCCTTGCATGTCACCATGCTTTCGAATGGGAAGGGAAGAGAAAGGGTACCCTCCAGCCAGGATGCCTGGACTTGGGCATGTCTGCGAGAGGGGCCTGTATGGGAAGCCTCTGGGTCCCGGATGACGAATTGGGAGACAGGAGGGAGGAGTCACTGCTATAATAAACACAAAAGTGCTTTGCCCACTTGCCAACATTACGACTGTGTCAGAGTCTCCAGAGAAACCATGGTTTATGCACTGCTATCAACAGAGATGGGGAGGGCGTGCTTGGGTGCTATGAGGTCTGGGTGCTGGCCTTTCCATTCTAGATATGGTTCCAGATCCCCAGTTCCTGCCCACTGCACAGCCTGTTGTCATGGGAAATAGAAGAGACCGAAGTTTTTTTTTTTTTTTTTTTTTTTAACCTAGTTAGAGAAGACGGTGCAGCTGCCCTCTTATTCCCAAGTAAGAGATATTCATGGGTGCGCATGCGCAGCTTCACCCTCAGCTTTTGGGTGACTCTGGAGAACTTTATTTCAGATTGTGGAGGCAGGAGATGGGGGAGTTGGGGGAGAGGGGAGAGAGTTCGTTGGATGCTATTTTCAACCCCTTCTGGGATTCCTCTCAAAGCTGTAGGCTTTAAATCTCAGAAGTCAATTCATTCTTTTGAGACCAGGGCTCACTAGGTAGCCCAGACTGTCCTTAAACTTGTGACCTTCTCGTCTCAGCCTCCTAATTGCTGGCATTATAGAACTGAGTCACCATGCCCAGCCTATTGTTTAGATGCAGTGCTGCGGCTCTGGTGTAATGACACACCTAGAGTCCCAGCACTTGGGAGGCACGAGCAGCTGGGTCGGAAGTTTAAGGTTACCCTCCACCACACAGAGAGCTGAAAGATAGCCTGAACTACATGAGACCCTGTGTAAGAAATACAACAAAAATGTAATGCTATTCTTTTTTTAAGTTTTTATTTATTTATTTATTTATTTATTTATTTATTTATTTATTATGTATATTATGCTCTGTTTGTGTGTCTGCCTGCAGGCCAGAAGAGGGCACCAGACTTCATTACAGATGGTTGTGAGCCACCATGTGGTTGCCGGGAATTGAACTCAGGACCTTTGGAAGAGCAGGCAATGCTCTTAACCTCTGAGCCATCTCTCCAGCCCCTATTCTTTTTTTTTTTAAAAGATTTATTCATTTATTATGTATACAGTGTTCTGTCTGCATGTATGCCTACAGGCCAGTAGAGGGCACCACATCTCATTACAGATGGTTGTGAGCCACCATGTGGTTGCTGGGAATTGAACTCAGGACCTCTAGAAGAGCAGCCAGTGCTCTTAGCCTCTGAGCCATCTCTCCAGCCCCATAGTGCTATTCTTAGTATAGCTCAAATTATAGCCAGGGATTAAAAAACAGGCCCAGTTACATGACTAAGATCAGTTAGTTGGCTGTTTTGTTAGGCATTGGGTTTGATTCCCACAAATTGTATTTGTACCACTAAGAGCACGTTGTTGACAAATTGGACCATAGGGAGGCCCATAGGCCCTGGTGTGTCCTTTCCCTCCACCCCACAATGGTGTCTCTATTGTTCCCATGTACTTCTGTTGGAATGACCAATGTACTTGAGTGAATTAGGGGACAGTCTTGTTTAGTCACCAGTGGGAGTCTGAAATGGGGGCAAGGAGAAAGAGCTTCATGACTGGTAGGCACGGTCCACCCTGGGAAGAAACCAAGGCTAGTTAGTATACTCCACCAGACAAGATCCCGATGGAATCTCACAACCTAAAAACAAAAACAAAAGCAGAAAGCATTCTTCTGGTCCTCAAAGCATAACTCGTGTTTGACATTTGGATCATCAGATAACTTTCAAATGGGCCAGGGGAGGTTTAAGGTAGACATGAAACTGGAAAGTATTATGTTGTGTGATGTTTTACTCTTTTGCCTTTTGGGGGGGGGGGAGTAACACTCAGATCCCAAATAAATCACACCTGGCGGCTTATTTTTAGTTAGGAATGCCTGGCCTTAGCTTGGCTTGTTTCTTTCTAGCTTTTCTGACTTAAATTATCCTGACTATCTTTTGCCTCTGGGCATTTATCTTTCTCTAGTTTTGTATACCCTTCTTTATTTCTTTCTCCATGGCTGTCTGGGTAGCTGGCCCCAATGCCCTCCTCTCCTTGTTCTCTTCTCTTCTCTTCTTCCTTGTTTCTCCTTCTGTTAATTCCCTCTGCCTACCAACCCTGCCAATCCTTGCTCCTGCCTTGCTATTGGCTGTTCAGCTCTTTCTTAGGACCAGCAGGTGTTTTAGACAGGCAAAGAATCACAGCTTCACAGAGTTAAACAAATTCAGCAGAAACAAAAGTCACACACATTAAAATAATATTCCTCAACAGTATTGCCCATGTGATAATATTTGGAGATGGAGCCTTGCAAAGCCTGGGGAGGCAAACCTATAAACACAGCTACCCTGAAGGTTGCAGCAAGAGGGTCCCAAGTTTAAGACCTGCTTGGACTACAGAATGAGTTCAGGACAAGCCTGGGCAACTTAGTGAGACCCTGTCTCGACATAAAAATGAAAAAAGAAGGCTGGAGATATATGTAATTCGGTGGTAGCGCGTGTGCCTGACACGTGCAAAGCCTCTAGTTCAATTCCTAGGAATGATTTTTAAAGAGAAGAGAGGGGCTGGAGAGATGGCTCAGAGGTTAAGAGCGATACTACTCTTCCAGAGAACCTTAGGGCCCATGTGGTGCGACTCACAACCTCCTGTAACTCCAGCCCCAGGAGGTCCCTGCACTCACGTGTACATGCCCACATAGACATGCACATGCCCACATAGACATGCACATGCCCACATAGACATGCACATGCCCACATAGACATGCACATGCACAATTCAAAATCAACCTCTTTTCAGAAGAGAGTTTGGGCCTTTAGCAGTTAGTTGGGCCATAAGGGCTGCTCCCTCACTAATGAGATTAAGGGCCTTTATACGAGAGACTTATGTGTAGAATTTAGCTAGCTTGTCTGCCTTCTGCAATGGGAAGATGTAACAAGAAGACCCTCATCAGACACCCAAAGGTACTACTACTTTGAGCTTAGATGTCCAGCCTCTGGAACTACGGAAAATCTGTTTATGTCTGTAGACATTACTTAGTCTCAGGTATTTTGTTGTAGCTGTACAAAATGGATGAAGTAGTGACTCTAGGGCCAGACTCCCAAGACACGCTATGTATTTTGATAGCGCTCTGCATCTGGGAGACCTCATATCTTGGTGTCCCTCATCATAGGTTTAGGCAGAGTCACATGGGGGCCCCTTATTAGTCTGCTCATTATGTGTCAGCAGGGACCTCATCTTGGAGTTATCAAAAGTCTCCTTCCCGGGCCCTCATGTATGAAGCATCACCTGGCAGCCTCCAGCAGGGACCTGAAAAACTGAGACAAAGACTGGCCTCCACTGAACGGGGATATCGTGGGTAGCACCTTGTAGTGTGACTGAAATTTAAACCTCCCCTCTGTCTTGCTTGATTCCATTCCGGTTGTCATAGCCACATGTCTTTCCAGAGCGTCATGGTCAGAGCTTGTTTCCAGTGACTCCTGGCCTGTTGTGTTTAGTTGACTTCCAGCAGGCGCTCTTTAGCCAGGACACCCAATGTCAATCATCCTAGGTGGCCCGAGAAGGCTGGCATCCAAGGTGTGGTAGTATCACTACTTACCGGGAAGACCTAGCATGGGAGTTTAGGACAGGCAGGACTCCTTTAAGCTCTCTGTCCTCGCTCTCTCTGATACTATCTAAGGCTTATATTTCTGGCCCTTGGAAATGATCTGTTTGCCTGTACTTTCCAGAACCATCTTTGATGCCAGTGACAAAGGAGTATGCTGTGGGAGGTTTTATGTGGCCTTGGAATTGAGTTTGGTGGGGCCTGTGTGTTTAAGAATAGTCAGGGAGCTGGAGGAATCGAATGACAGCAGTTTGAGGAAGCGAGGGACCCTGTCATTCTGACACGGTCCCTTGATGATAAAAATAACAGGCCCAAGGGAAGACTGGCATTTCCTATGCTTTTATTTTCTTCTCGCGTTTTTTTTTTTTTTTCCCTACTTGAACCTAGAGAAGTGCCTCCCACTTCACAGACAGCTCTCCTGCATCACTTAGAGCTGAGAGGCCAGGATGCAAGCAGATGATGATACAGCATCGTTTTTGTTCTCACCTCCTCCCTCAGTCTAGCCCTCTGCATTCACTGGTCCTCATCTCTCCTGCAAGCACCGAGCTCTTGACCCTGCTTGAACTTTCCCTCTTATCTTCTTCCCTACTCTGACAGCCTCTATTCAAGGAGTATTTGTGAAGTACCTACTCTTAGCCCTTGGTCACATCCTGTCTAATAGGATTTTTGAGACTGTAACTTAGGCTCTGTCAATGAGAGTCCAAGCTCCCAAGGTGCAAGGAAGGGTCTTCTACTTTTTTTATGTCCCTCACAGTGCACCCTGAGAGCTCGGGGGTGAAGATTTCCTGATTTGCCCTCTAGGTTCATGGGATCAGTGTGAACACTTATCTAGGGTGGGCAAGAACAAAGACAGTCCAGCTCAGTGGTTTTAGACTGTGCTCTCAAACTCTGGAAAGACAATGATGCCAGATTCTGTCCTCAGCCAGCCCCTTTGATGCTCATGAACCCACCCCCAGCGATGGTGACTGGTGAGCGTAGCTTGCTAGGTCATATATCCATTTAAGTTCCTGTCCGTTCCCTGCGTTTTCAATCGTGCCATTGTTATCCAGAACAGAGTCAAGAACTAGGTCTCATCCCTGCCTGGCTATGAAGCTTAATAAACCCCCTCAATGCTGCCGCAGTGAGTGGCGCCTCAGACAGACGACCCAAAGTCCTGGAGACGAGCCACAGTTGTATTGTGGGGCATTCGCTGCCGTCCTGCTGGAGTTCTGAGTGCTTGTTTGCCTCTGTTCTAGGCCCACCTGCCGTTTGCTGTCGTTGGCAGCACAGAAGAAGTGAAGATAGGCAACAAGATGATGAGGGCGCGGCAGTATCCTTGGGGGACTGTGCAGGGTGAGTCTGTGCAGAGGGCCTACACTTAGCGCCTTCTCTGGGTATCTGCTGCTTCTGCCACGATATGCCGAGCTCCTAGCTTGTCTCAGCCTCCGCTACTCAGTGTGGGTCTCAATCAGCCACAGGGGTCACTAGCAGCAAGCTCTGGCCCTGTGCCCAGATTCTGTGATAGGAGCAGACTCCTTTTGTCTAATGGAGAAAGTACTCCCTTATACCCCACCCTGAAACAGCAAAAGACGAATGGACTTGGCACAACATAGAAAGTGTGAGTGTGTCATTAGGAGAGGCACGAGAATGTTCACAGCAGTGTTATTCATAATGATAAATTATTACAAACAATAAGGTGTCCATCAAAATAGCCGGGGTAATTTGTAAAATGGTCATATAATGGGGTCTTAGACAGCAATGAAAGTGAATGAATTTCAGTTACATCTGTGTGGATGGCTCTCAGAAATAAAATCACACAATAATGCATATGGTAGGTTTCTATTTATATGAATTCCAAAAGTAGGCTAAAATAACATGATATATATTGTGATGAATTCATGCATGAGTGACGAATGATGAAACCATTTTCATTAAACACACACAAAAACAATGAGAGCTGGAGCCGTGGCTCAGAGGTAAAGAGTACCTGTTTACTATTGCAGAGGACCTGACCTCTGTTCCCAACCCCCACGCCACAAGGCTCACCTTCCTCCTCTAATTCCAGCTCCAGGGGATCAGAACCTTCTTCTGACCTCTGCAGACACCCTACACCCTACACACACACACACACACACACACACACACACACACGAATAAAATAAATAATCTGAGAAAACGGGACCAGTGTGATGTCTTGCGGGGGCAAAGGAAAGGCACTTTCCTCCAAGCCTCATGGCCTAAGTTTGATCTCCGGAGCCCACACGGTGGAAGGAGAGAGCTGATTTCTAAAGCTTGTCCTCTGACCTTCACACAAACACCAGCGCCCTCACAAGTGCACAGTGCACACCCACATCCCCTCACACTAAACGAATTAAAATAAAAAAATATACAAATGACTGCTAAACCCTGTCAGGATAGTGCTTCAGTTTCATTGCCAGAGGAGGCAGGGAGTAGAGAGAGGTGTATGAGATCAAAAAGAGGCCAGCAGGGGCTTCCAAGGTAATAGTAACATTCGCTTCGGTTGTGGGGATATTTACAAATTTTAAATTTCTTTAAATTGCACATACCTATTTCATGTACTCTTTTATAGATATGCTTATTTTATAATTTTAAAGAATTAGTTATATACTGTATACATGCATGACAATTCTTTTCATAGTCTGTCTCACACGTATGCTTCTCTTTAGGAGGTAACATGAACTCTAGGACTCTGCTAGGGGCAGAGGTTTGGGGGCCCTGAGTCTGTAGCTATAAACCAGGCCGTGACTGGCAGTTTCTCTGTAAATTCTTCCCAATCCTTGGGCAAATAAAGGAGAGTGGGCACCCAAGAAGGGTGGCATCCATCTGTAAGTCCAGTCCTGGGAGGTGGGGACAACTGAAAAGAGAGGCTCGTGAGTTCAAAGGCAGCTTTGGGAGACCGTGTTTCAAAGAAGTGAAGATGAAAGTTGATAGTGATTTGCCCACCTCACATCCAAAGGCTGGTATGATTGAAGGCACAGCAAAGCTCCACCCACAGTAGCTAGAGTGCTTTCCTTCTGTGCTGCTGAGACACATGCATGCGAGGCAAATGCTCCGCCACTAAGCTACCTCCTCGGTTCTTCTTTGTTACAATGTCAGAGACGGAAGTCGGGCCTCATGCCTGCTAGATGAAAATGCTACTGCTGAGCTCCATCCCGTCTGGATGTCCCATAGGTAGTAGAAGACTGGTTGGCAGAGCCACGCAAAGTGTTGCTCTTCTCTGCCATTTGCAACTGGGGATGTGTCTTAGTCAGTGTTTTATTGCTGTGAAGAGACACTATGACCATGGCAACTCTTTGTGTTTGTTTTGTTTCTTGTTTGTTTGGACCATGGCAAACGTTTACAAAGGAAAGCATTTAATTGGGGCTGACTTCCAGGCTCAGAGGATTAGTCCATTATCATCATGGCAGGACATGGCAGGGTATAGGCAGACAGGGTGCTGGAGAAGGAGCTGAGAGTTCTACATCTTGACCCATGGGCAACAGGAAGTGAACTGAGACAATGGGCATAATTGAAGCATGTATGAGACCTCAAAGTCTGCCCTCACAGTGACACACTTCCTCCAACAAGGCCACACCTACTCCAACAAGGTCACACCTCCTAATAGTGCCACTCCCTATGAGACTATGGGGGCCAATTCCATTCAAACCACCACCACAGCACAGGCTGTTACACTAGGAACACCGGGGAAAAGGCTTCTGGACCAAGAGCCACACCTTTGGAGTCTGTGGCCTGAAAGACAGAAACCTGAGGTGGGAGGAGACAAACCAGCAGACAGACATCCAGTGACTTCCTTCCTCCAACTTGGACTACCCCGCTCTTCTCCCAAACTGAGTTCTGTTGTTGTTTGTTTGTTTTGAACTCCCTAGTTGACATTTTTTCTGGATGAGGAAGCAGATGAACACTGCTTGGAAGCCTAAAAAAGACTTAGAATTATTCCTTTCTTATATCCTTAAAAAAAAATAGAATTTTGTGTAGCCCAGGTTGGCCTTGCAATCACTACATAGTTGAAGCTGGCCTTGAACTCCTGACCCTCCAGCCTCTACCTCCTAAGTGCTGAAATCACAGGTGTGCACCACCAGGCCTGGCTCTAGAATCATTCCTCCTGATCAGGGGTCACTGTCTTGAGCTGGAGAAGCAGATACATATAGCTTGCTCCCAAGGAGTTATTTTATTGCTGCAGCTTTTTATATTAGTTTATGTTCTATGGCAATAGATATAGGTTGGTACTGAATGTAAGGGACCTTAAGTAGAACGTCTACATGGACCACTCTGGACTTTGGACAAATGCTTCTGATGACCATATCTGACCATCTCTAATAGTACAACGCAATGGATCCGAGCCCGGAGACATCCTATTAGAGCCCCGCTTGCAGCATGGCTCTGGCCAGAAGTCCACTCTGCTGTGATTTAGTCCACATCACTCACCTTCTTGTCTACTCCCCAAAATGCAGACCTTTGCCCACACGGCAAAGAAGCGGTTATCTCCTTTCCCCTTCAGATTGCAGTGGTCAGGCCATTATCCACCCTTGGTAAAACACCTCCTCGGGAGCTTCTACCACCCACATGAGCCACACCTGAGGTCTGGCCCTCCTTTTCCCTCTCACCTTTCCTACCCTAGGTCTTTTCCCTTGCTCTCTGGAGATCCATCTCTGGTCTTTGCCTCGCCCCTACACTACCGGGATTTGAAACCTAACTCTGCAACTTGCTCACTATGTGCCCTTGCCTAGCCTTCGGAGGCCTTGTGAAGATCATGTTCTATTATCTGCCTGATAAATTCCACTCTTCCTTCCAGCCTCATCCAAGAGGTTTTATCTTTTGGGAAGCCCTTGTTCTCCTGGAGTTCACAGGTCCCCCTCTTCTGGGCTTTTACTGCACTGCAGCCATGCCTCCACGTTTGTAATCTTGGCATTGTGTTATATTCTGTTTACGTGCGCTTTCCCACTAAGCTGCAGGTTCCTAAAAGTGTGGCCCCAAGGCCTCGCTTCTGAATTATCTGGGCCAGAAAGAATACTGGAAACAGATTCCACTAACATTTATTGGGTGGATGGCTAGATAGAGGTGCATGCATCGTCATCTGCAAAGCAATGTAGAGAAGATATTTCTATGCCAGTCTGCTTGGTAAATTTGTGCGGAGGCCTTACTGAAAGTTCTTAGATATTTGCACAGTAGTATTGTCCTTTCATAATGTTTCATTCCCATTTTCACAGAAAATGGAATTAGGTTAAATGTGTAGGAGCCGTATAAAGAGGCTGCGAGGCGATGTCACCATTAGTCACTTTACTTCTCACTGCATCCATTTCTTCTTCTGCTGGCCTTCCTTTCACTGTACTTCCAATGCCCCAATCCCCGCTATGCAGTTGAAAATGAGGCCCACTGCGACTTTGTGAAGCTGCGGGAGATGCTGATTCGGGTCAACATGGAGGATCTGCGGGAGCAGACCCACACCCGGCACTATGAATTGTACCGCCGCTGTAAGCTGGAGGAGATGGGCTTCAAGGACACCGACCCTGACAGCAAACCATTCAGGTACCGCTCACGCCAGGCCAGGCCAGGCCCGCCTGGCCCAGTTCAGAAAACCTTGCCCTGGACAATAATCCGCCGGGGAGGAGAGGTGTGTGGGTTAGCTAGGGGGGCCCAAGGGAATTCCTGAGTCACGAGTGTTGCACATCTGCCAGAAAAGCAGGGAAGGGCAGGGGTCCAGAGAACACTTTGCTGACTACTCACTGCTTTGCCCCCCCCCCTTCCATAGACCCTGAGCTGGACTTTTGTTCTACTGGGTGGCAGTAGGGACTGTCCTCTGTTCCCACTTTCTTCATCTGGTTCTTCTGTTGCTTAAGACGGGTTTCCAGTACGCGCTTCCCTAGCATGCACAAGCCCCAAGTTCGTTGCTAGCACTAAGTAAAGCAATAGGAAAATACAGAATAGGACCACAGCCACTTTGCTTGTATTGGTGACCTGCCTGAGGCTCTTCTCCCACTGCCTAAGAATTTCAGTGTGAGTTTTGTTTTGACCCCTGAAGATGAATAACCCCTGGTGTTTTCCTCACCTCAGAACTAAAGTGCTTCTTAGTACGCAGGTGGGAGCCCTGGACCAGTGGAAGCATCTGCTCTCTGTACACAATGCGTCATCGGCCCTGCATTTTGAATTACCATATGTTCCCCTTTACCATGACTCCATCTCCTTTCAGGAAATGTCAGGCATCCGTGAGCAAGCTGGGGGGGGGGGGATGTCTGTGGGAGGAAAAGACACTCAAATGGCCTCTGGGATCCCAAAGAACCTGTTCGTGGCAGAAAGAGGGCCTAGGACACTGTACAAGCAGTCCGTTGGGGGAATGTCTGCTTTAGGAATGGCAGCCTCCCACCCCTCAGTGGAGAGGCAGGTCAGGGCCCCAGAGCTCCTGAGCAGGGAGGAAAGCGAGTTTGTCTCTGCTAGAAGGCCCTTGGTTTCTCTTCTTCCCTCCACAGTTTTCCTCTGCATCTGGAAGGTGTACTTCTACCTGTTCATTCAGTCCTGGCCTTCCCTCCTTTGCCCCATCCTCCAGTCTTCTGTTCCTGCATCTTCACCTTCCCCCCCCTCTCCCACTGCCCTTGTCCACCTTGCTGGTAAATACTCCTGCCTCACAAGCCCTTTTTCACTTCTGCTCTTTCTTGCCAGTTCCTCCCGTCAAGAGCTTTGTCTCTGACAGGGAAGAAACATTTCTGTTTCCGCTGTTCCTCTTCCTCCTCTCACTTACTTCCTCAACCCACTGCAATCTGCCTTCTGCCTCCAGCTCTCCACAAAAGAGCCTCTCTCTAAGGCCTACAGTTGTAGATCGGTGGCCAGTTTCATCGTGGCTTGATTTCTATCTTTGGTTTTAATGTGGAATGTTCATTTGGCTTTCTTGAAATACCCTCTGCCTTCAGCTCTTCCAGTGTTGGGCCCAGCCAGCTTCATCCCTCTCCCCCTGGGTCTCACTTTCAGTTTCATTTCTTCAGCTTTCTCCCTTAAATGTTGCTGCCTCCTTGGGGTTCCTTCCATGGGCCTCAGCTCTTCCATACTCCTGTCTCTTTGTTCTGGCTCTTTCTATTCTCACAGGTCTAATTAGCACCCGGGAATCTGATGACTCCAAAGCTAACGCTTTACCATTGAACTCCAAGCCCACAGATGCAGCTGCACCGCAGATATTTGCCCTCAGACATGCTATGGATACCTAACCTGAATCCCCAACAGTCTGCCATCCAGCCCACGTCCTTCTTCCTCTTCCATGCTGTTCATGTTCTACCGTCTAGCTAGTGGCCCAGGCCAGAAACTAGAATCAGCTTCCTTTGGGGGTATATTCGGAAACTTTAATGTCGATCATAAGTACAAAGATTCAAAGAGAGATGCTCACCAAGACAATAAGATACACTTGAGAAAGCAGATATGCGTTACTCAGGGGACAGCTGTCTGGAATCAGCTTTGATTTCTTCCAAGCCCTGGAAATTCTGCAGCCTTTGTTGCTCGTCCAGATCTCTCTCCATTCCCTGCCAGCCCTGACATGAAGATCCTGCCCTGTCATACTGAAATTGCTGCAGTTTTCTTCCCAGAATAGCCAAGTGGACTTCCCCATGTTCTGAGTGATGAAAACCACTCAGTGGATACATGTCCACTTCTTTCATGTGGCATCCAAAGCCTGTCCTCTTCTTCCAGACTCAGGAACCTCCCCTTCCAGTCCTCCGTGGTTCCTGTGATTCCCCCAGGCCTATTCAAGTATGCTGCTCTGTTCTTGGAACAGTCCTTCTGGTCTTCACCCAGTTGCCTCTGACTCTTTTTAAAATAATACGTATAGACCAGGGCATGGTCTTGATCCAGGCATCTCCCGATAGACCCCGAGATCCTCTAGGGCAGGCACGGTGGCTCTAGGCGCTAGATGCTGAGCGAGTGACTAGCATCATGTCTATTCGCACTGCTTGCTTACGTGGTAGCTGTAATCTCAGCAAGTATTTGAGGAAGTGCTGAATCAATGTGGGTGGTTTCAGAGCCAGGGCCTGGCGGTGCAGTGCAGTGGGAGAGAGGCCATACCTGAAGAAACAGGAGACCCAGCTTCTGGTGTCAGCTCTGCCTCTAAATAGCTGTACAATCTTCAGCGAGTCACTTCACCTCTGTGAGAGGGATGGGAGGGAGAGAAAGATTTCTAGAAGGTGGTATCCAGTTCATTGGGGCTCCTCTGTCCCCTTCAGTAGCTCTGTAATATTGCTGCTGTATGCCAAGCTGTCCCCTCCCCTCTGATGGTCCTCTCTTTACATTTCTCTGTCAGAATTAGAATTAGAGCAGAGAGGATGAGGGGGGCTCAGGATGGTTGGGGCCCATTTTCTTGAGCAGGGCTTGCCCGGGAGGCAGTGGAATTGACTGGATCCCATCTACAGTTTACAGGAGACATATGAGGCGAAGAGGAATGAGTTCCTAGGGGAGCTCCAGAAAAAAGAAGAGGAGATGAGACAGATGTTTGTCCAGAGAGTCAAAGAGAAAGAAGCTGAGCTCAAGGAGGCGGAAAAAGAGGTGAGTGTGAGCCTGGAGAGCAGGCAGGTAGGAGGGGAGACTGAGTGTGGTCCTGGAGACCTCGGCCTTCACACGGCAGCTGGAGGGGAGAGAGACAGGCAGCCTCTGGGCAGGACTGGCGTGCAGCTCAGGTGGAGAGAATCTTCTTGACCTTCATTCCCTAAGGCTGGGATATTTTCTCATTCTGTTAATTATGTAGAGGTGTTGCCAATCAACATGGTAACCAATAGCTGTAGGTGGATTTTTTTTTTTTTTTTTTGGAAATTTGAATTCATTCATTTGCTTAGGTTTCGAAGCCTATATGTAGCCCAGGCTGGCCTCAAATTTTAGAACCTCTTGCTTGCGTCCTAGGATTACATGCATGGATTACAGTGCACAAAATATTTTATTAATTGCATATATTTATGGAGTATGATGTGCAATTTTCATGTTTATATAATAGAATTATTAAATCAAGCAAAGAGTCACTTCATTTCATATGTTTATCTTTTTTGTTATTTTTCAAGACAGGATTTCTCTGTGTAACTGTCCTGGCTGTCCTGGAACTAGCTCTCTTTTTTTATTAATTTATTTATTTATTAAAGATTTCTGCCTCCTCCCCGCCAGCGCCTCCCATTTCCCTCCCCCTCCCCCAATCAAGTCCCCCTCCCTTATCAGCCCAAAGAGCAGTCCGGGTTCCCTGCCCTGTGGGGAGTCCAAGGACCTCCCACCTCCTTCCAGGTCTAGTAAGGTAAGCATCCAAACTGCCTAGGCTCCCACAAAGCCAGTACTTGCAGTAGGATCAAAACCCAGTGCCATTGTTTGTTTGGTTTTTTTGGCTTTGGAGCCTGTTCTGGAACTAGCTCTTGTAGACCAGGCTGGTCTCGAACTCACAGAGATCCACCTGCCTCTGCCTCCCGAGTGCTGGGATTAAAGGCGTGCGCCACCATCGCCATTGTTCTTAACTTCTCAGCAGTCCTCATTGTCCGCTATGTTCAGCGAGTCCTGTTTTATCCCATGCTTTTTCAGACCCAGTCCATCTGGCCTTGGTGAGTTCCCGATTGATCATTCCCATTGTCTCAGTGTGTGGGTGCACCCCTCGCGGTCCTGAGTTCCTTGCTCGTGCTCTCTCTCCTTCTGCTCCTGATTTGGACCTTGAGATTTCAGTCCGGTGCTCCAATGTGGGACTCTGTCTCTGTCTCCTTTCATCGCCTAATTATACACCAGACTGACCTTGAATTCCTGAATCCTCTGACTCCGGAGTGCTGGGATTAAAGGCACATGCACTACCACTGCCAGCTGTTTTTTGTTGTTTTTTTTTTTTCTGTTGGAAACATTTAAGATCTAAGCCAAGTCTGGTCACACGGGCTATAATCTAGCAAGAGCACAAGTTCAAGGCCTGCCTGGGCAATTTAGTAAATCGCTGTCTCTAAATAAGAAAAGCTGAAAGGGGGCTAGGGATGTAGTTCAGTGGTAGAGCTCTTGTACAGTAGCATGCTTTAGGCCCGAGGTTCCACATTCCCGGTACTGATAGGGGGTGCATTTGAACTATACTCTTGGCCATTTTGAAATATACAGTAAAATTGACAGTTCAGCTCTTCTCGTTAGCCCATTGCAAATGTAAATCCCGATGCAACTGCTGTCGTGGAGCTGCTCTAACACCCCGTTCTCCTGGGCAGTGGGGCACGTGGAGTCAGGGTGTGGAGCCACGCCTGTTGTCAACAACTTTGAGCCAGCACTATAACTCAAACTCTCTGACCTTCAGACAAGGTGGAATAGGCCCACATTTTTGGAGTTATTTTTTGGAGCATTGGATCCTCTGGAACTGGAGTTACAGATGACTGAGCTGCCAAGTGAATGTCAGGGACCAAAACTGAGTCTTCTGGAAAAGCGGAAAGTGCTCTTAACTCCTGAGCCATCCCTCCAGCCCCTAATAAGTAATAAGCCCCTGATAGTAATCAGTTCTTTAAAAAGAATCAAACATATGCAGTTATTCTTTCAAGCAATGGCCTTGACTTGCAAGCATCCTCTACCCGTTCCCATCTCAATGCCAGAATAATTGACCTCCAGTGCAGTTTTGGAATATCAGCCAGCACTTCCCTTCTCTTGGTCTTAGTTCCTAAACAATCTAAGAAGCCACGTTGGCTGCACATGCCTGTAGCCCAGCCTTGGGGAGCAGAGACAGGTAGGTCCTAAAGTACAGGCTTAGCCAGAAGGAGAACTTTACATATGGACGATCCCATTATAGAATCCCCCAAAGACTTGATGACCTTGGGCAAATGCCTTCATTTCTGAGACTTTCAGTTTCCTCATAAAATAGACCCTACCGCAACTGTGTAGTAAGATAAGCGTGCTGGCCTAAATCTTTATCTCAGTACTCAAAAGGCAGAGACGGGAGGGTTGTGAGTTCAAGGTTAGCTTGAACTATACAGCAAGATCCTGTCTCAAAAAAAAAAAGGAATAGAGTGCTGTGTTAATGAAAATGTTTTAATATATTAGATTTAGTTATATTAGATTAGATTAGGCTTGTAACAAACTAAGTACATATTATTAGCAACTACACCCAATAACTACAGGGGTTCTTTGAAATAAAATCTTTGTTTACACAGAATACATTGGTCCTTGACCATTTCAGGAGCAGAGATTCTGAGAACAATTACAGCAATCTACAGTAATCCTTAGTGCCATCATGGCAGTTACTGGCAGGAATGTTTCCTCTTGTTCCAGAGTCCTACCGGGTTGCAGACACAGTGGTTCCCACCCACTCTGGTCTTGGCTGGGCTGGGGACTGCTCACTGCTGCAGGGGGGTGGGGGAGACTCCCTCTAACTTCCCTGTGCCTCTCTTCCAGCTGCATGAGAAGTTTGACCGTCTGAAGAAACTGCACCAGGAAGAGAAGAAGAAGCTGGAGGATAAGAAGAAATCCCTGGATGATGAAGTGAATGCTTTCAAACAGAGAAAGACAGCAGCTGAGCTGCTCCAGTCTCAGGGTTCTCAGGCTGGGGGCTCGCAGACTCTGAAAAGGGATAAAGAGAAGAAGAAGTAAGTAGCAGCCTTGCTGGCGGGGGTGCGTGTATGTATGTATGTGTATGGCATCTTTCTTTTCCTGCCCAGCCCCTCCCCCCAACTCCATGCACCACCTTTCAGGACTTAGAGGCCAAGAGGGCTGGTGGGCAGGTGTGCACTGCAGGCTGCAGTTAGACTCATGTAGTTAGTTCAATGTCTTCATGGTGCCCGAGTCTGAGTTGCTGAGAGAAGAGCACTCCCAGAAGTCTAGCTTTGCCCTTTGGCCCATCTGGGAAAGCTCTGCAAACTCAGGGCGGATAGTAAGGGAAGAGGGGCTAGGAAGTAGGAAACAAACTGTGAGAGATGTAGAGGGATAAAGAGAAGAACAAAAGGATGGACAGACCAGGATCTTTTAGTAGAAGCTCTATGCACTTCCCCCAGACCCTAGACCAGTCTTTCGCAACCTGTAGGTCGAGACCCCTCTGGAGGTCAAGTCACCGGTTCACAGGCGTGGCCCAAGACCATTGGAAAACAGATATTTACATTATGATTCATAGCAGTAGCAAAATTACAGTTATGAAGTAACAACAAAAATGTTATGGTTGGGGTCAACACAACAACAGGAACTGTTAAAGGGTCGCAGCTGCTCTAGACTTTCAGTATCATGCAGCATACAGGTCTGCTTGCTCCTCCCACATCTAAGGGGAGGGGCCTACAACCTTACTCTGCCTCCGTTCTAGCTGCACCCTGTGAAAGGTAAATGCTGCCACTGAAGGCTGCACCCTGTCTCCCATCCTCCAACCTTTCGCTATACCTCTTCCTGCTGGCTGCTTAGGTATGCCCAGCCAGGGGTACTAAGAACTTAGTGGGGGGGGGGGGGCTTCAGATGCCAGTGTATTCTGCATAGGCCATTTTCAAGCTTGGGGAATGGTTCAGAAACCATTGTTTCTCAAGTGTTTGGTAGGTTAATAGCCCTGACCCTACCCCAGTCTCTGCTTGCAGAAATACCCCATTCCTCATTTCTGAGCCAGAGAAGAGGAAAGAGTGCTGGCAAGCAGGCATGCAGAGGTTCCCTTGTGCTCTGTGCCTGTTTGTGCAGTGGGACTCGGGGGATTCCGGGATGGAGTATTTAACAACATCCTTACTAAAGGACCTTTAACATCCCAGAGATGCCCATGCTCATGACCTTTGATTTGGGGCCACTGATTTGAGTCAGCCATTGGATACTTTCCAGAAGGAAGAAGTATCTTTTTGCCTCTGTGCCTGGCTTCTCACTTAGGAATCACACCATGAATGTAGACTATTTTATATTTCACGGCACTGAGTTTTGTGATCCTGTTTATCCAATTTGACTACCTATTATGTAATTTGAATATTTTCATCAACTTGGTCCAGAGATTTTTTTTTTTAAAAATAGAATCTTTTTCTTGGGGTGGGGGTGGGGTCTTGAGACAAGGTTTTTTTTTTTTGTATGTGTGTGTGTGTGTGTGTGTGTGTGTGTGTGTGTGTAGCCCTGGCTATCCTGGAACTAGTTCTGTAGACCACTCTGGCCTAGAACTCACAGAGATCCACCTACCATGCCCCCCCCCACTCCCAGAACAGAATCTTATAGCTACATATCAAATTCACTAAGGTTCAACCAGGCAGATGGAAAACCTCTGTGGATGCATCATCTATTAACTCATCAGTCATGCCATATCAGTTATAATAACAGAAAATGATACACACTTTCCTTTTTAAAATTTATTTGGCACTGGGTGGTGGTGGCACATGCCTTTGATCCCGGTACTTGAGTTTGAGGTCAGCTGGGTCTATAGAGCAAATTTCAGGACAGCTAGGCCTGTTACACAGAGAAGCCCCCATCTCAAAAATCCAAAAGTAAAGAAACAAAGTAAACAATTTGTCATCACCTGATTTGTTTAGGATGCACTGATGTTGTAGGTCAGTGGTTCTCAACCTTCCTAATGTTGCAGCCTTTAAATACAGTTCCTCATGTTGTGGTAACCCCTAACCATAACATTATTTTTGTTACTACTTCATGACTGTAATTTTGTGTTTTCTGATGGTCTTAGGTGACCCCTGTGAAAGGGTCATTTGACCCACAAGGGGGTTGGGGACCCACAGGTTGAGAACCACTGCTGTATCCAGTCCCTTCAAGATGCTCAGTGAAGGGGCTGGAGAGATGGCTCAGAGGGTAAGAGCACTGGCTGCTCTTCCAGAGGTCCCGAGTTCAATTCCCAGCAACCACATGGTGGCTCACAACCATCTATAATGAGATCTGGTGCCTTCCTTGCCAGCAGTAGTACATTGTATGCTTAATAAATAAGCAAATAAATAAAAAATGAAGAACAGTTTATTGAGTATATACCACAAGAGGGCAGCAGGTTGGGCAACAACTAAGTATTGCCTGATAGGATATTTGAAGAAGAGAATCAAGACAATTCCCAGTAAGCAAATTTTCTAAAAAAAAAAAAAAAAAAAAGCTCAGTGAAAGCTCTTCCCAGACCAGACTTTTCCCCAAACTGACTTCCTCCCATCTCATGCAGAAGACTGGATGAGTCTCTCCCCACTCTCCAGAAATATCTGGGATTGGTGCCAGTGCCCCTTTCCAGTTCTGAGATGGGTGAAAACCTTGCTGGGATGTGGCACCTTACACTAGCATTCAGAGCTGGCACAATAGCCCATCCCCATCCATACTCTGTGAGTGGCCCCAGGTCTGGGCTCCTTCTGCACCTCTGTGAGCAATTGGTGAACTTGGAGAGAGGCTGTGCCACTAAGTTTACGCTGCTCTGCTCCCACGGCGCTTTTGCTGGTGACGGTTTGGTGAAGGGTATAAATCGTTGTAGTAATTTTTTTTTTAGACAGGCTGTGGTTGGATCTGATCAAGCCCCAGCTTTAGAATTTCCTCTGGATGCCCCTAAAGAGACTAAGAAAGAGAAGTAGAGTTGTAGGGGTGTCTACCAAGCCACACTTCCCTGTTCCCTTCCCCGTTTCTCCTAATCCTTTGACCTCTAACACTTCATGATTTGTATCAATTCTTAATATTGCATTTCTCCTCGTGCTCCCTCCACCTTCATCAGCTCTTACTGTTTTACAGTTAACTCTGCTGTTTGCTGCATGCTGCATGAGACCCAGGGTCCTGGTAAGCTTTATTAACTCTAAATAGAACTGCCAGTGGCTTCTAGAACATACCTCCCCAAACCCCACACGTGTGATACATATAGTTAAACCATGAAAGAAATGGCTTCATTCGACCTGCTACTTTCCTCCCAAGATTTCCAGTATAAAGTTGTAATCTGTCGTGGTTTTAAGTGGGCTTGTTACATCTGGAGTGCCTGCCTGCCTGCCTGCCTGCTTGATTAGATGTATGTGTGTGTGTGTGACGGCATTTGCACACTTCTGTCGCTGGAACAGCTGTGTAGCATAGGAGAGAGATCATCTGACCAGCACGTAAAGTTGCAGCTCAGACACTGTTTTCACACATAGCCATAATCATGACTTTGAAAATGAAGTGTGATGATGCAGGAAACTGCTGGGTTCACGGTCCCTTGCCTGCCACATCACAGTCAATACTGACTACCCCCCCCACACACACACACCCCAGATACAAGACTGTGCAAAGAGAAATTGCTTCTCTGTCTCCCTCTAGTAACTGCTTCTTATCTGAGGGGTTCAAGTTCTCCAATTTCTTTTCATTGCATGCCCCACCCTCCAAAATATAACCAAAGTGGAAGATAGTGAAGAAACCTCAGATACTATAGGGAAATCCTTACATTTAGTGCTGTAGAACAGGTGAGGCGGTTTGGCAGGCTTCAGGGCAGCATTTACCTTTCCCAGAAAGCCGCTGAAGTCTCGCAGTTTGCATTTAATCCCTAGAACCCATAGAAAGGTGTAAGAAGAGAAACGACTCCATAAAAGTTCCCCTCCAGTCACTCTACACCGTGGCACGTGTGTCCATAAACGGTACTAAGAAATTAATTTGAAAACTTTAATTCTGGGTCTGGAGAAATGGCTCAGGTGGTTAAGAACACTTTGCTGCTCTTCCAAATGAGCTGAGTTTGCCTCCCAATACCTGCACATTAGGCGGCCCACAATTGCCTGTAACTCTAGCTCCAAGGGATCTGACAACCTCTTCTGGCCTTTGTGGGCACCTGCATGAGCACACACGCGCACACACACACACACCTCTCTCTCTCTCTCTCTCTCTCTCTCTCTCTCTCTCTCTCTCTCTCTCTCTCTCTCTCTCTCTCTCTCTCCCTCTCACACACACACACACACACACACCCCCCTCCCTCTCTCTCTCGCTCTCTCTCACACACACACCTCACTCTCTCTCTCTCACTCACACACACATACATATACACACACTAAATATAAATCTTTTAAAAATTAATTCTGTAAGACTGTAAGAACGAGCTTCATGAAAACCTCTGCTAAAGAATTGGCAGGTAATTCTTTGTAAGAATCTCTGAGGGCTAGTGGTTGTGTCTACAGAAGTAGAACAGTCCATGCTATCACACAGATTTTAAAGAAAATGAAAGCAGTCATTATAGGATAAAAGAAAGCAGTGATTAAGCACCTTTTGTATACGCTACCAAAACCAGGAAGTGGGGTGAAATTGAATAGAAATGTTTTTAACAGCGAACTTAGATTTCTTTTTAACTCTGACACGGAAACTTTGAAATGTAGAGAGAAAAGAGGTGATAGTACAATTCAGCCCCATATTCCTGGAGCCTGGCCATCAAAGAATCATTGACATACAGCTGATCCTGCTGCCTCAATTACCCAGACATGCTGAATTATTGTAAGGCAAAAGTTGTATCATTTTATGTGTAAAATACATAGAATGTATTTCTAGGAGATAATGATGCTTTAAAATAAACACAGCTATCATTATCACACCTATAAAATTAGCAATAATTTGCCAACCTAAAACATCTAGTTGGTGGTGAAAGTACCCCAGTGGTCTCCTAAGTTGCCTTTCTTCCTTTTGGTTTGTTTGGGTTGGGGACTAAAGTATTGAGAAGATGTCCCCTGGCTCAGCCATGCGGTGGTTTCTATGGAGAGCCTGCTGTTAGTCATCAAACCAACGGTTGCATTCATTGTGCTACAAACCTCAGGCAGCTGGCAAAGGAATTCTCCTTTCAAGCAAATCCCAGCAAGGAAGTCCATCCAGGCTTCTGAAACAGAAAGCCCAGGGAACTGAGTCAAACAAATGCATCCTAAAAGAACAAAGCAATGATTTACAACCTGCTTTAAAAACAAGCCCTGGGGCCCCTGCTAGGGCACCAGCATCAAATGGCAGCTTTCTATTTAGTAAGACTAAATTCCTAGAGTATTTGCTCACTACCATAGTGCAGGTGCCTAGTCAAGTGTCTGACACATAGTAGGAGCTCAGTTCATATGGAGTTTCTTTGTTCTACCATTTTCTTTTTTAAAAATTTTTAAAGAATTGTTTCTGTTTTATTTAACTTTATTTTATGTGCATTGGTGTGAAGGTCTCAGATCCCCAGGAACTGGATTTACAGACAGTTGTGAGCTGACGTGTGGGTACTGGGAATTGATCCCCACTCCTCTGGAAGAGCAGTCAGTGCTCTTAACCACCAAGCCATCTCTCCAGCCCCTGTTCTACCATTTTCAATGAGAGCAGGAAAGATGTATTCTGGTGAATTCCATTTTGACTAATTCAGATTTCATTGCACACTGAGTGATTTTCACTCAGAGTTCCCTGGGTACGTCTTTGTTAGTAGCCATCCTTAAAATAGACCCTGGAAAACTATCACTGAAGTCACGCCTTAGAAGTGAGAGTCGATAAACAGCTGGAGCAGCCGATTTCAACCCCAACCTTCTGTGTAGTTGACTGCAAAAGCAGTTCCAGATCATTTGAGCTGGGAGGGCCTTAGCTGCCTAGGATCTGCAAGCTGCAAAGGATGTGCCTCCTTCCCAAAACCTTCACTTGGGGGGTTGATCAGAAAAGCCACCTGGAAGGCAGGCTGAGGGAGGCTTCTCTACATGGGCAGGCAGGACATTCACTGTGAACAGCTGATTGCATATTCTCATATATGCATGTTTGTCTAATTCCACTCCCCGCAAATAGCACTGATTTAATGGGATGACTGTTGTGTCTGTTTTTCCAAAAATCCCCGAGAAAATCAACTTAAGGAAGGAAATATGGTTCTGTTTATGGTCACTTGGCCTCATTGGTGTGGCACAGATCTCGGCAGAGCATCGTGGTAGAGGGGTGTACGGAAGCCGAGCTTCTCACTTCGTGCCAGCCAAGAAGCAGAGAAATGAGGCAGGGACAAGATACAGCATCACAGGACTTGTTCCGGTGACCTTCTTCTTCCAACAGGCCTGCCTGTAATACTATGAATCTCTCAACAGGATTATTTTTAAATCAGAGCCCTCAGACTCTAGTTGCTTCCTCAAAACCCCTTAGCTGACAAGGAAGCCTTTAATACATGAGTCTTTGAAGCACGCACCACATCTAAACTATAAAAGAAATCTCATTTTCAGGTCATAAACAAGGATTTTGAAACAAAGCAAAGAAATTCCCAGAGACCATTAAGACTCTCCCAGTCACAGGAGAGTCTTGGTTAGATATCTCTTATCATGGATATAATACTTTATGACTACAGGCATATCAGTCAGTCTCTTCATATGTGACACAGGGACCAATATGACTTAATATACTCATATCGCAGAAATGAAATCCCAGCAGGAGACAGGTCAAAGTACGACTTGAACACAAACCAGTGGGCTTCTGTAGCTCAGGTTTACAGGTCACTGATTGGAACCCCACCCATCACACACTTGACAAACAGGTATTGGCTTAGGGTTGCAGTTAGCCGGCTAAACTTGCTACGAAGGATGCCAAAGTTGAAACCTCAGTTTCTTCTTGTCCTTTGGGACAAGAGGGCTGTGAGTCTGATGCTGTGTCTGGTAGCCTAAGGTCACTAGAGACTTGGTATACATGGACAAGGTTATCTGGATGTGTTTATGTGGGATTGTATGTCAAGAACAGATTTTAAAAATTATTTGTGTGGGATTTGGTCTTTATTTTGCTTTATTAATGTCACCACTGCGGCCATTAATATGAGAAAGCATGTTCCCAGAAGCCAGTGCATAAGACTTTTAAGACCATCTAACATAGCTATTCTACTTTAGCTATTAGTTTATGACTTAATTTCTTTCTGGCTTTTTTTAAGTGATCCATCCATCCATCCATTCATTAACCCCCCTTCTCTTTTCATTTTCAGTTTGAGCTTCCTGTAGACGCACCCTTTCCTGTGCAACAGAACTGGGCCTCCCTCTCTTATTTCCCCTTACCATGTTTAGGGGGCATACAACCCATGCCCTCCCCTCTCTTCCTGCGAATGTTATAGAAGCCTGAGAGTCAAATGATGATGCCTGGCCTCTGACCAAGAAGCCAGCAACGACATAGCTTGGAGTCACATTCCATACCTTAGTCCCTGTCCTAGCACCCCCAACCATATGTGCCCCTACTTCTCCATCCCTATCTTTGCCAGACTATCACATGTTCAGGAGTTGCTATTTGTTACTCTTCCTCATTTGAATTTGACCACTATTTGTTTCCTTGAGGTATTTCCATCTACCCTGGCTGGATAAGTACCAGTCAAGGCTCAGAGCTTTCCCCCTTACACTCCTGCATCCTTGTCAATGGGATTGTCCTCCCATCCCTCTAATCTAAGGAGCTATAACCTCTTCTCATAGGCTTCAAAAGAATTGCCAGTGATACCTATTTCGTCTACCATCTTAGCCCAGCCCTTTCCCGATTCCATTCACTCAGAGTCACCTGTATTAAAAGTCAGCACACATTTCTTTGTACCAAACCCTTTCTATAAAACACAATTTTCTGGGCAAGACAGTGTATATTTCCCCTCTAATTCTAGACACCCCACAGATAAAGAAGGGAAAATAAACTAGCATATTATTACCAGCCTAGAGTCTTGAATGATAGACTTATAGAATTCTCCTTGGGGATTTCAGCATGGCATTGGTCATTTCTTGCCATCCCAATGAGGTGGACTAGCAATAATAATAATCCCAGTTTGTAAACTGGTGAGTTGCTTCAAGAAGCTAGGCTTGGGGCTCGCCTGGATGAGTATGCTAGTCCACCTGATTATTGTAATGATGGGTTGAATCTGCATTTACACCCGTGCCACTTCAAAGAGGAGAGACCATTAGCTGGAGGGAAGAAGAGATGCTGTTGCTTGACATCTACTTCGGTCTAAGGATTTGATATTTTAAAAATACCCTAGTCTTAAGTTTTATAATGGGTCCCATCTGATTCTGGCTTTTGGAAACCCTTTGAAGTACAGAGCCTTCCACTGTCAGGGCCATGAGGCACAGTATGGCTTTTGGTGTTTGACTAGTGAGAGAGCAACAGCTAGAGGCGACCTAGCAATGATCTGTGGCTAATATGGCGTCTCTCTGCCCTTCCTTTGCAGTAATCCATGGCTGTGTACTGAATAGTATGCCCTGCTACAGCTGGACTGGACTCCACTTAGCCTTTTAAGAGAAGGTTCTTATTTTAACTGACAACTTTTTTTTAATGGTGCCAGACAGCTGGGCCCTCCACCCCTGCTCTGGTACTTAAAGCTTCTCTCTCTCTCTCTCTCTCTCTCTCTCTCTCTCTCTCTCTCTCTCTCGCGCGCGCGCGCTCTTTTTTTTTTTTTTTTGAGTTCTGCAACTTGCTTCTGCCTTCCAGTCCGACTGGCGTGGACCATGACCTTCTTCTTTTTTCATATTTTAAAGGTGGTTGTATAATCACTACCTCTAAAACACGCAAGGTGTTTCGGAACTGTTGCAAAAGGGCAGAGCTATTCTCTACAATCACAGTTAACACCTGGAAGCCAAGACTAAGCCCAGAGCAGAACTAGTTGAAAGCGAACAAGTCAATGTGCACACTTTCTCTGTTTTATGGTCAAAGAGAGGCAATGTTGATATGTACTGGCCTGTGGCCAGAGGCAAGAACAGGGTGACAATGGGAAAGCATGAGCTAATTTCTTGGGAAAAATCAACTAGAAGTAGAGAAATTCAGGTAACCCTATGCCTAGAGCTAAAACAGAACAAGGCACCTCCACCAAAACAGAAAGCCCAAAGAAGAATCCCCAAATACCTTTGGTTACACAGTCAGTAGTCGGGGGAGTCAGGCTACTGAGTTAACTGAGTCTCCTTGAGAAAGATCTCTTATTTGTAGCCATGGGGTTCTGTGGGTTGGTTTTTTTTTTTTTTTTTTTTTTTTTTTTTTTTTTTTGAGACAGGGTTTCTCTGTGGTTTTGGAGCCTGTCCTGGAACTAGCTCTTGTAGACCAGGCTGGTCTCGAACTCACAGAGATCCGCCTGCCTCTGCCTCCCAAGTGCTGGGATTAAAGGTGTGTGCCACCACCGCCCGGCGGCGGGGGTTTTTGTTTTTAAGACAGGTTCTTACTATGTAGCCCTGGCATCACAGCGTAGATTAGGCTGGCCCTCAAATTCACAAGAGATCTGCCTGCCTGCATTTAAAGGCAAACACCAGCTAACGTGCGGACCCAGCTGTTTTAGGCATCTTAACTCACCTTTGCAATTGTATATAAATTCACTACTTGAGGCTTGAGGATTTCAAAATACTTTGCAAGTATTTGAGCTAGACCACTTTTCAAAAGCAAGGAGGAATTGTAATAAGGTGGGAACTTTTTGGCCAGCATGGATGATGTAACCCCTACGAGGATATTGACATGTAAAGAAATGAAGGCACTTATCTGAGGTTCCACTGCTATTTCTTGGCAAAGTCCAAGCAAAATTTTGTCTTTGGGTTCCCAATCCATTTCAGCAAAGGGACCCAAGTATTTATGTATGTTCCTGAAGGCAATTTTTTTTTTTTTATGTTCAGAGAAATCAGTCATTGTTAGAGGAGTCTTGAGGGTTTTCACATAGAAGAATAGGATAGGATGGATAGGGGCAGGTGGAGAGAAGACTTCAGGCCAGCTACTATGATGCCTGATGGTCAGTTAGCTTTCCTATAAATCTGAACCAGGACCAGGCCAGTGTCCATTTCACTGGTACACTATGTGGCTTCTTGTAATCAGGGAACTTTGGTGGAAATAAAAAGCCATCAGACTCATTAAAGAAGTTGAGATGATGCTAAATTTCACTGAGCAGCTCTTCTCACTGTAAGTGGGAAGGTTTTTGTTTTTCTTCACTTGAACATCTTTTTGTGTGTGAGACAGGGTTTCTCTGTGTAGCCCTGGCTATCCTGGAACTAGCTCTTGTACACCAGGCTGGCCTTGAACTCACAGAGATCCACCTGTCTCTGTGCTGGGATTAAAGGCACGTGCCACCACCGCCCTGCACTGAGCATCTTGAATCAGTACTGTTGTTACTATTCTTTAAAAATACTCAAAATTCTGTTTCCTTCTAGTGAAACAAAAACCATTAAATATGATCTGTGCTCTTGTTTTTCTAGACTAGAATGGAATGGCTTTCCTGAAACACACACACACACACACACAACATTCATTTCTCTGAAGCCAACAAGTCTGGTTTCCCCACCTAGTTCGGGTCTTTTTTAAAAACTCACTTGGCATTCACATGTGGCTGTTAATATGTGCTTATTTTTTAATTAAAGCAAGACTCATTAAACTGGTGTGTGGTGTTCTTCAAACCTTCTCAACAGATTTCTCCATGGTGATGGTCCCTCCGTGACCTGTTCCTGTCTTCTTGGCATTTAATCTACGCTACCTTCCACTGCCCACTCCCCTTGCATGCCACTTTAAATGCCCTTTCTCTTCAGCTAATTTTGTGTTTTCTCTCTCTTTCTCTCTCCCTCTCCAGCTTTTTTTAACCTTGTCTTCAGCAGCTGTACTAAGTCTAAAGGAGAAGACTGCCGTTATCGAAGAGTCAGTTAGGGCTCCATATTGTCTCAAGCAAGAACCCAACCAGTTCCCCTCCCCTGCACCTGTGCACATAACACCACACTCGAGTGTACATGTGTCCCTGTGTCCAGGCAAGAAGCTCTCTTCTGACTTACATGGTGTTTTACATGGAAGTGTCTTGTCCTAAACTCACAAGGCAGGAAAAGAATCATCAGAGCTGGAATTGGACCAAATGTAACCTCAGAGAGCCAACGACAGAACCACTCACCCAGGTGTTAAGTGATTGGGGCAGGAGATCTCAGCTGTGGGTGTGGAATTGCTGTTCACAGGGTTTTGAGTTTTCTGTTTGTTTTTTAAAAACAACTCTCTGGGTCGATGGGTTGACTGTGTTCAGCCACCATCAGGCTGATTCTGAATATGGACGAGAAAGTTGAGTGACATTTGCATCTTCAGCATTTGCAGACCTTCTGTAGCCCCCAGCGAGGGGGAGGCATGGAGCATTAACATTCTGCTGGAGAAAAACTGACTGACGGGGGTTTAAGCTTAGTGAGAACAAAGCTTCTCCACGCAAACTTCCGCGGGGCTTTGGGGGCTTTGCAAGAGGTTTCTGCTCAACTTGGTATCTGGAAGGAGAGCTTTGATGTTGGTAACTCTGCCTTCAATTCATTGGCTTTACTTAATATCCAAAAACCACGTGAGTGTGCTCCTTCCCACGTAGCCATCCCACAAACACCAACACTCTGCTGTCTGTCTCTTGAGAGAGCCTCTTTGCATGTTTTCCAGAAGCTGTGTTTGTTTTCCTTTCTTCTCTGTGGTTCTTTTGGCTCAAAGGTGTGACCAGTCACTGCCCTTCTGGGGCTTTCATTTTCCACAAGATACATCCCAGAACCAGCACTGTTTAGCTCATTATCTTTCTAATGTCCATGTCTATTTTCAATAAAATTCAAAGAAATGTTCCATGGCTCCATGATCTGATCCCATCAGTTGAGGGCGTGGCTCACCACAGTTTGCTTCAGGAAATGGGTGGCTCCCTCCCACGTGGATAATTTGGGAGGCTCAGAGAAACGCCATGGTGCCACTAAGCCTTCCTCAGTGGACCACCACACCCCTTGCTTCCTTCTGGCCCTGAAATTCCAGTGGGACAGGGTGGGTCTCAGCAGGCCGGCTCTGCTTTCCCTTTAATTAGTACTGGCTGGGCTAATCAGATGAACTGAGAACCAGACAGTAGAGGGAAGGGAAAATACAAAATGGCATCCCACAGAGCAAAGTCCAGGTAAGTTTTAATTATGGAACAAAAGCAGCTCTGTGCTGCTCCTCTCATTTTCTCCTGTGATGTGCACATTTTCCCAATTTCCCAAGTTGAAAGGCATTCTGTAGATATTAAGCCTTCGGTCTCTCAGAAAGAGCCGCCTCCCATCCTCCCAAGCATTAAGGTAGACAAAAAGAAAAGTCGTCTGTTTTCGGAAATCTAGTGCGTGAAGGGGGGCTTGCTTCCCTGCACTTCATTTGCCTAATGATCAAAGACTGAAGAAAGGACCAGGGCGTCTTCTCCCTAGCAAAACCTGAAGCCTCTGCTTGGGTACCAGAGCAGACAGCACTGACCTGCCTCTACGCAGCTCACACACTAGGGGGCAGCAGAGTAAAGCTGTAGTCACTTATGACATCACTGAACACTGAGGAGCAGGTGGAGGTGTGGAAAAATACAGAATCCTTAGCCTGTTGTGATAGCGGGAAAGTTGTGATAAGAAAGGCAAAGGCGGTCTGGTAATATGGTAAGGCGCCTGCTGGCAGGCCCAACTGTCTGCGTTTCATCCCTGGGACCTATATGGTGGAGGGAGTGACCTGATTCCTTGCAAGTCCTTCTCTCATTTCCCCACACGTGCCCTGGCACTCCACCCAGTTTCGGGGGTGAGGGAGACAACGAAAACCCTAGGAACCTCTTCTATTGCCAAAGACAACAAAATCCCAAAAAGGTAAAGGCGGGGATGATGGCACATTTCTATAATTTCAGCATTCAGAAAGCATGGGGAAAAGGAAGTCTCATCTGACACCAACCTGGTGTCAAAGATAGTGAATCTAAAGCCATTCTGGGTACACAACCAAACCCTGTCTCAGTAAACCCGGCCTGGGGTGGTGGTAGGGCTTCTCTAGAAAAGAGGAATGCCAGTAAGTCCTTCACAAAAGTATCTGGGTATTTGGGTCATTGAGATGGCTCAGCAGAAAAAGATATCTGCTGCCAAACTTAATGACCTGAGCTTGATACCTGGAACTGACACGGTGGGCGTAGAGAATTAACTCATGCAAGTTATCCTCTGGATTTAAGTCATGTGCTATGGGTGCAGGCAAATGTGGGTGCAAACTCGCTAAAGAAATAAAAATGAAAGGATTCAGTCATGGATGGAGCAGAAGAGATGACCAGCCCACAGGTTCAAAGTACTTGCGGCTCTTGCTGAGGATCAGATTCCAGCACAAGACCTGGGGCAGGGCTTCTTACTGCCCAGGTAACTCCAGCTGCATGGTTTCCTCTTTCCCTCTTCTGGACTCTGAAACTCCAGAATTCACGGGCACATACCCACACATAGACAGAAACACACATAATTTAAAATAACTCTTTACGGGGGAGGGCATTAAGTAGACGAGGTTTCTTGTTTTTGGAACCTTCCACTGAGAACCATCACAGTTGCGCTACTTGGCATGGGCTTTATTTGAGGATGTCCTTGTCCTGGTGGGGTAGGGATGCAGTTGGTCAAATTCTTGCCTGGCACGCAGAGCCCTGGATTTGACCCTCAGTTCCAAATAGAACCGGAGGTGGGGACTTACGCCTGTGATACAGCACTGAGAAGGTGTGTCAGAATGAGCAGGAGTTCAAGGCCAGCCTTGGCTATTGTAACCTGTTCACTGCCAACCTGAGTTATGGGGAATAAGCTCATTCTCTTCTAGAACCACAGTTGCCAACTTTGGGAGGTGACTCATCATTTCAATCTACCAAATTATTATTGTTGTTGTTGTTGTTGTTGTTTTGAGACAGGGTTTCTCTATAGCTTTGGAGCCTGTCCTGGCAATTGCTTGGATAACCTCGAACTCACAGAGAGCAGCCGGCCCCTGCCTCCCAAGTGCCGGGATTAAAGGTGTGTGCCACTATCGCCTGACTAGTAGTATGGATTCTTAACCTCTGTGCCATGTCTCTGCCTCCAACACTGATCTTTTTGAAGTCCTGTTTTTGGTTGTTGTCCTTTTTATTTATTTGTTGGTTTTTCGAGATGGGGTTTCTCTGTGTAGCTTTGGTGCCTGTCCTGAACTAGCTCTGCTAGACCAGGCTGGCTTTGAACTCACAGAGATCCACTTGCCTCTGCCTCCCTCCTGAGTGCTGGGATTAAAGGTGAGCGCCGCCGCCACCACCACTGCCCAGCTTGTTGTTGTTGTTGTTAAAGATACAGCGGAATGTGCGCGATGTAAAGATAGCTCAGCAGGTAAAAGTATTTACACAATGACAACCTGATTACAAATCCAAGAAGTGAACCAAGTCCTCAGAGTTGTCTTCTGGCTTTTACAAATGCACCATGACACCCATGCACCCACAAATACAATCAATTAATAAGTAATAAACTATTTTCATTTTGGATCAAGGTATTACTGAAAGATTTCGGCGCAAGTAAACCCTAGCAGGTCCCAGGGTGGGTGGGAAACTGAATATGCCAGGCAAAGGGAGACTGAGGGAGAAGTTTTATTAAAGGGGGGTGTAAGGGGAGGAGGAAAACAGAAAGGAGAGAGAGAGAGAGAGAGAGAGAGAGAGAGAGAGAGAGAGAGAGAGAGAGAGGTGGAGAGAGAGTCAGAAAGCTGCCCCTTCAGAAGAATGGCAGGCAGAAACCAGCTTGCCTCAGCGGGAAAGTGAGCATGGGAACTGAGAGTGGGCGGAGCTTGCCTCTTAAAGGGACAGGTTATTGACAGGGAAGGTCAGCAAAATGGTAAGTTACCTCATTCCTCCACTATATAATTGCTAGGCGTATTCATCTCTCTTCCATCAACAACCTTGCTAATAAAAACCTATGTGGAGAAAATGTACATACACCTTGCTCCTCACCAAAAACTTCTTTCCAGATTTAGCATCTGTTGGTAGTTCTTGCCTGAGCAAATCTGCAAAATGATTTTTCAATTTCAGCCCTTCCTCCCCAGGGTTTGGTCAATGCACCGTGACTTCAGGTCAGCGTGAGTCTTTTCCTCCCGCCCACTTGTCTACTTAGCGTCACTGCGGATCTATGGCTCTGTATGATAAATGTTTTATATGAATTTTTGGGGATTTAATTACTAACTTTTAAACTTGGCATACAAGGTGGTGGGCTTCATTAGGGCATTTTCATAGATCCAAGTCACTGCACTTTGTTCTGATTTGTCCCCCTCCCGCACTGTCCTTCATAAGCCCCCCCTCCTATCTTGTTGGCTCCCTCCCTCCCCAGTCGTTTCTTCTGCTGCTTTCAAGTCATTCTTATTCCATTTTCCTTTCTTTTTTTTTCCTTGACCCCTCCCTTCAGATTTTTTTTTCCTCCCTTCTCATGTTTCTCTTTGGCTTTTCATCTCACACACACACTTCCTGACGTTTTCTACTTCATTACTGTTCCTAATTATTTTGGTGCTCAGGCCTAATTGGAGGTTCCTAATTATTGCTTTAAGTCCATTAGTAAGCACTCCTCCAGTGCATTTAGGTTGAAGGGTACTCAGGTCAAGAACTCTGGGGGGGAGTGGAAGTGTAATTGTTCAGGGGAACAAAAGGCACTGATGGGAGGGGAGGGGGGACAAAAGCAAGGCGGGGAGGAGTATGTTCAATCTACAATATATACTCATAGGAAAATTTAAAAATAATATTTTTAAAAAGAATTTTATGAGACTGAGACAGCAGGATTGCTGTAGGTGTGAAGCTAGCCTGGGCTCCAGAGTGAGGCTCTGTCTCAAGAAAATAAAACAAACAAAAGCTCCTCTAAGGATTTCTATGCAGATAACAGCTGATGAGGGCGCGAAGCTTTCTTCAGTGGTGGAGCTGATGGTAAGCTGCCCATGTTACTGTAAACTACTCCAAAGTCTATGGAAGTTGAAAGGAGGCTAGGTTAGGAAGAAGGGCTTGGTGGTACTGTCACTAGAGAGTTACAGTAATAGGGAGTGCACGGTGTAATCAAAATAGGCATGTAACTTGCTCCAACACACACACAAATTTTGAATGGTCTAATTTCTGATATGCTGATAGGAATAGTGTTTAGCTGGGTTCTGAGGTTCCCTCCTGCCATTACTGACTCCTTTACAAGAAAGGTCAGAGAAGGAGCCTGGCACAGTCAGAGGGCTTGTGCGCAGTCTAAAGAGAGTGGCTGAAGGCTGTGTTTGAGAACAGATGGATGCTTAGTTTTATGGTATGGTTCAGGACTGCATTGGACTGCCTTTATACTCTCTCTTTTTTTAATATTTATTTATTTATTATGTATACAATATTCTGTCTGTGGTGCAAGCCAGAAGAGGGCACCAGACCTCATTACAGATGGTTGTGAGTCACCATGTGGTTGCTGGGAATTGAACTCAGAACCTTTGGAAGAGCAGGCAATGCTCTTAACCTCTGAGCCATCTCTCCAGCCCCCCCCCCCTTTATACTCTCTTTCCTCCACAGCCTCAGTCTTTATTCAGATGATCTGTTTCTGCTTAGGTCTCAGCTGATCCCTGAGAGATTCTGTACCTTGTGGAAAGGGAACAGGTTAAAACAGATTGGCTGTAGGATTTTATTTTAAAAAAGATTTCCAGGGAGAGAAGGTCACAAGAAGATCATGCAGGTGTTTCTTCTGCTTTGTTTTCTGGAGGCGACACGGTTTCTGTTCTCTAGTGGGAATCATAAAGAGAGCAGCGTCAGGACTGTTCCAGGATAAATGGCCTCTGGCCTCTTTTTCTTGGCTGTCTGGGAATACAGAGGATTGAATCCAGACCTTCCTACACGCTAGGTACTCTACCACCCAGCTTCATCTACAGCCCACTAGATGGCCTCAGTTTCAATGCTTTTTATTTTATAATTCAAAAATCAGATTATTCCTTGTTCCCCCTGTCCATCCCCAGCTAATACTCTCTGGAAACATCCCTACAATCACACTCAATTATGTGTCTCTTTAATGCCTAGGTGATTTTATTATCTTTTGAAATTAAAAGATAATTGCATCATTTCCCCCTTTCCCTTTCCTCCCTTCGTGTCCCTCTATGCACCCCTTTGTTCTCTCTCACATCATGGCCTCTGGACTCTTTTTCTTTAACTGTTGTTACACACACACATTCCTAAATATACAAACACAGTCTGCTCAGTCTGTATAATGTTTACTTGTATGGATATAGCTTGACAAGCAAAATGAATTATCACAGGAACTGTGATCCTACAGCAATTTCATAGTTTGAAAATAATATATAAGAAAGATAGATATATGCTTAGGCTTCTCCAGAAATTCAGTGATAAATTTGGGAGATACACACTGGCTTAAACACCCAAGCCAAGGCCACGGATGTGCTATGTAAAATGAGTTTTATATGAACTCCCTGTATAAGGCAACTTAGGAAATGGATCACATATCTGTCATTCAGGAATCTAGAATACTTCCCAGTATAGTTACAACTCCCTAAGTAAGTAAGGATATCTGTGGAATAGAATTGTGTCTCAAAATCAAGCAGATTTTAAGTTCATACCAAGAGGAAAGTGGGGGGGGGGGAAGGGACCTATGGGTGTCAGATATAATTGTAATGAGTCTACAGGAGTAATGTTGTTATAATTGTAATGAGTCTACAGGAGTAATGAGTCTACATTGTAATGAGTCTACATTGTAATGAGTCTACAGGAGTAATGCTGTTGGTAGTTTCAGAATTAATACTAGTAGGGAGACTCAAACTTAAGTACAAATCTGATGAAGATTTATTTCAAACTAAGAGGAAGGACCTTTTCTTCCTCTCAGATTTAAGGAGAGATGTGTTATAATCGCAATGCCGCTTTTGATGAGGGTTGGCAGCATAGACCACATCTTAGTTCCGTTGTGCTGCTATACCCGAGGCTGCAAAACTGCTAAAAAATCGATCGATTTCTTAAGAGTGCTGGAGGCTAGGAAGTCCAAGACCAAGGCAGTAGCAGATGCGGTTGTCTGGTTAGAAATATTCTCTGCTCCAAGATGGTTTCTTGCTGCTATATCTATCAGAAGGGAGCAATAAATACTGTATCCTTACATGCGGGGGTGGGGGTGGGGATAGAAGACCAAATGCTGTATGAAATATGTTTTGTTGTTGTTGTTGGTTTTTTTTGGTTTTTTGAGGCAGGGTTTCTCTGTAGCTTTGGTGCCTGTCCCGGAACTAGTTCTTGTAAGACCAGGCTGGCCTTGAACTCACAGGGATATGCACGCCTTAGCCTCCCGAGTGCTGGGATTAAAGGCGTGCGCCACCACCGCCCAGCTTCGAAATACGTTTTCTAAAGATCTAAATTTCTTTCAGGAGGAAGTATCCCACAGGCCTGATTAACTCTTAAAGATCCTATCTCCTTTTATGTTCTTGTTTTACCCCCCTTTCTGATTTTTTGAGACATGGTTTCTCTGTGTAACAAAGAGCCCTGGCTGTCCTGTAACTCGTTTTGTAGACCAAGATGGCTTCGGACTCACAGAGACCAGCCTGCTTCCAACTGACTCCCCAGTGCTGGGACTAAAGGCGTGTTTCACCACTGCCTGGCCCAAGACTCTACCTCTTAACGCCGTCACATTGGCCACTAAATTTCAGCAACCGAAATTTGAAGGGGACATAACCATAGAAGCCCCAAATTAATCCACTTATTAAAATATCAGCTTAAGAGGTAGACGCTAAGAAACTAGGATGGCGCAAAGAGAAAAGCATTCATCTGCGTAGCCTATGGCATGCCAGTGGAAGCCAGCGTAGGCATGAACAGCAAAAGAGGAACTCCCTGTTTTCTTAGATGGGACATTTTATCAAGGGAAAAGGAGTCAGTGGTTTTAACATTTTTCTTTCTCAAATTTTTATTAGATTTAAGAGACACAATACTAACTTATAAAAGATATCGAAACCAAAATAAAAATTATGCCCATTGAGTGGCAAGAGTTAAATGTATACACACGTGCTAAAATGGAATCCGACAATATACTCAGTAAGAGATACACCTAGCAGGAAATTTGAACAGCAACTCTTAACAAAACATAATCAAGAATTTAAGCGGGGCAATGGTGGCGCACGCCTTTAATCCCAGCACTCGGGAGGCAGAGGCAGGTGGATCTCTGGGAGTTCGAGGCCAGCCTGGTCTACAAGAGCTAGTTCCAGGACAGGCTCCAAAACCACAGAGAAACCCTGTCTCGAAAAAAAAAAAGAATTTAAGATTTTTTTAAATAAATGATTGGATGTGGATTCCTTCAATCATGAGGTTTGGTATTTTTAATAAAGCATAGATGCTAGTTATTGAGATTTTATTATACAGCTATTTTCTGGTGAAAGCAATTCTCTCCCTCTCATGGGCCCCTTTCCAGTTTCCTGGCATCCACCCTCCCTCACTCCCACAGCGACTTACGTACAGTAAATTAGACGCTAAATTGGTCGTTCTTGTCTGTCAATCTGCAAGTTGGGCAGTGATTGGTGTCCATAATCTCAGCACCCAAGAGGCCTAGGTAGGGATGTTGGTTCAAGGCTAGCCTTGGTTATATAGCAAGACCCTCCCACTTTTGAATTGAGGATGATGAGTCGTCAAAAGACACCTTATCCCGGCCACTGTAAGACTTTAAGACAATCCTGGCCGGGCGTTGGTGGCACACGCCTTTAATCCCAGCACTTGGGAGGCAGAGGCAGGCTGATCTCTGTGAGTTCGAGACCAGCCTGGTCTACAAGAGCTAGTTCCAGGACAGGCTCCAAAACCACAGAGAAACCCTGTCTCGAAAAACCAAAAAAAGAATTTAAGATTTTTTTAAATAAATGATTGGATGTGGATTCCTTCAATCATGAGGTTTGGTATTTTTAATAAAGCATAGATGCTAGTTATTGAGATTTTATTATACAGCTATTTTCTGGTGAAAGCAATTCTCTCCCTCTCATGGGCCCCTTTCCAGTTTCCTGGCATCCACCCTCCCTCACTCCCACAGCGAC